TATATATAAAGATATGCTCTTTCTGTTCTCACGTGATACGTTTTGGCTAAACAAAATTAGAATGACTTATATTACATAAACGTGATCATAATGCGTGACAAAAACAGAGGTTTGAGGTCTACACTAGTAAATAAATTGCCTCGAGTCATATCAATTTATATGATGTGCGAGATTAATTTATTTCTGACGAAATACAAGACACGTAATATAGGCAAATGGGAAAAAAACGAATTGCGAATATAATAGATGGGAAAGGATATGATGCCAAGGAGACTGTTGAATAACTTTGGCAACATTCTGGCTTGCTGACAGAAAGATAGTATTACGTTCTATACATTTTGGTCGCGATGGTGGGCAGCACACAATTGGAACTAATTATTCTAGCCAAAAAAACGCGTGTCAAGATTTCATCATATTAAGATTCTCAAGGATACAATAGACTCTTGTAAGCTTAAATAATAGCTTATTTTATTCAGAAATGAGAAATAATTTCTTTCTTAATGATGTAATATTAATTAATTCTGTAACTCTAATAATAAAACAATCGATAATTTACATCTGAAAAGATTTTAAGTCTGGAAAAGAATAATTACAATTGTATTGATTAATGCTATACGTATTAATTTAAATATTATATTTACATCAGTGTTATATTTACATCAAACTAAACTATATTATACTTACATCAAACAAAACAATTTTTCAGTTACTTTGCTGTTATTTTTTAAAAAACAATTTGATGATGATGTTGCAATTTTTTACGACGGTAACGCTAACTAACTAAACTAATTAAGGTTGTTAAATTAGAAGAGTCGCTTTGAAAAATAACTTGTTATGCGTTCCTTATTGAAAAAAGTAAAAATAACAGAGTTGGCAAACGCGTAACGTTATAAGTAACGAATAAAAAGTGTTACAAATTCAGAGATATTCTTTTCAGTAACCAATGACTTTTTCAACCTGTTACAAGTTATAATTGATTTTTCTAACTCTAATGTTACCATTACTATCATAAAAAATTCACAATGTCATTCAAATTGTTATTATAACAAGGTAACTATCAACAAAGTAATGATGTTACAAACAACGCGTTTCTTACCAACTTTGATTTACATGTTATGTATATGTATATAAATATACATATTATTTAGAATCAAATTAATTGTTCATTTGTGTTAAATAAACTGCCCGGTAATTGGTGAGAATTAAAGTATTTAAAGGAAGTTCAAGCAGATAATAATCGCAAATAAAAATGCAAATAAAAATGCACTTGAGAACTTAATATTCCATTAAATAATACTGTTTATTTAAAATTTACTTATTAATCGAATTTGCAGATTAATTTATTATTTCTTATCATGCATTAATCGGAAATTAAATCAACAATCAGACGAAAAAATAATTATAAATTTAATAAAACGCTGATAAAGAAATAAAATTATAAAGAAATTGTTTAAGACATAGAAATTTCACGCAAAACATAATTATCGCAAAACAACATTAGATCGATTTTTATCAAAATTTCTGTCAAACAACTAATAATAAACACATTTTTAGATTTCAATGTCAAATAATTGGATCATTCGTAAATATCATGATTACTTATATTAAAGATATACAAGCTGTTCAAAGAGCATAATTACGATAAAATACTGTTTAATAAATTAATATTAGCCAAAATGAATTATATATGATTTTTTTTGTTGAATCGTTTATTTTTCTTGCAATTTTTCCAAACTCTACTATATAATAGATTATCGTTTTAAGGCAGAACGTAAAAAAATCGTTACTCTCATGCAATAAAATGCATGATAAAAATACTAATGCCCATATTTATAGTCAGATC